AAGCTTAAGGCTAGTAATGGCTGGTCGGACAAGAGTTTTACAGAACTCCTTGAGCTGTTAAAGGATCTGTTGCCAGAGGGGAACAATTTACCTCAGACGACATATGAAGCGAAGCAAGTATTATGTCCGTTGGGCCTGGAGGTCAGAAGAATTCATGCATGTCCGAACGACTGCATTTTGTATTACAAGGAATACGCTGACTTGGATGTCTGCCCTATCTGTGGGGCATCAAGATACAAACGAGCAAAGAGTGAAGGTGAAGGAAGTAAGTCAAAGAGGGGAGGCCCAGCAAAGGTGGTGTGGTATCTCCCAATTGCGGAGCGCATGAAGAGAATGTTTGCGAACAAGGAACAAGCTAAGCTTGTGCGCTGGCATGCCGAAGAACGGAAAGTCGATACTATGCTGAGGCACCCAGCAGATTCAGTACAGTGGAGGACAATCGATAGGATTTACCAGGAATTCTCAAATGACCCAAGAAACATGCGTTTCGCAATGTGTACGGACGGCATTAATCCTTTTGGTGATTTGAGCAGTCGTCACAGTACATGGCCAGTTCTGCTTGTTAACTATAACCTTCCTCCCTGGTTGTGTTTCAAAAGAAAGTACATTATGCTTGCCATGCTCATTCAAGGACCGAGACAACCTGGCAACGATATCGATGTGTTCCTTGAACCGATAATCGATGACTTCGAAAGGCTATGGAATGAGGGCACACGAACATGGGACGCATATGCACAAGAGTATTTCAACCTCCATGCGATGCTGTTTTGTACCATCAACGATTATCCGGCCCTTGGCAACCTTTCTGGCCAAACTGTGAAAGGGAAATGGGCGTGTTCGGAGTGTATGGAGGAAACAAGAAGCAAATGGTTGAAGCATTCACACAAGACGGTCTACATGGGTCACAGGAGATTTCTCCCAAGGTATCACCCGTATAGGAATATGAGAAAGAATTTCAATGGACACAGAGATACAGCCGGACCCCCGACAGAGCTAACAGGGACAGAGGTGCACAACTTAGTGATGGGAATAACCAACGAGTTTGGAAAAAAGAGGAAAGTTGGAAAGCGAAAAGAGAAGAGCACATCGAAGGAAAAAACAGAGGAGCATGTGGAAAAACAAAAGACAAAAGAGAGGAGCATGTGGAAAAAGAAGTCAATATTTTGGAGACTACCATACTGGAAGGATCTTGAAGTTCGCCACTGCATAGATTTGATGCATGTCGAGAAGAATGTATGCGAGAGTTTAATGGGATTACTGCTTAACCCAGGTACTACAAAGGATGGTCTCAACGCCCGACGAGATCTGGAAGATATGGGTGTTCGGTCGGAGCTACATCCCATAACCACGGAATCCGGCAGGGTTTACCTTCCTCCAGCCTGCTACACTCTCTCGAAAGAAGAGAAGATTGATTTGCTAACATGTTTGAGTGGTATAAAGGTTCCATCTGGTTACTCATCAAGAATCAGTAGGCTTGTTTCACTGCAAGATCTTAAGTTGGTTGGAATGAAGTCGCATGATTGCCACGTTCTTATCACACAGCTGTTGCCCGTTGCAATAAGGAATATTTTGCCTCCTAAGGTGCGACACACGATCCAGCGGCTGTGTTCCTTCTTCCATGCAATCGGCCAGAAGATCATTGACCCCGAGGGACTAGATGAACTACAGGCAGAACTTGTGAGAACCCTATGTCATCTTGAGATGTACTTTCCTCCAACTTTCTTTGACATAATGGAACATCTTCCGGTGCACCTTGTGAGGCAAACAAAGTGCTGTGGTCCAGCATTCATGACGCAGATGTATCCTTGCGAAAGGTACCTGGGGATCCTTAAGGGTTATGTACGGAACCGTTCACACCCTGAGGGGAGTATCATCGAGAGTTACACCACCGAAGAGGCCATCGAATTTTGTGTGGACTACATGTCAGAAACATCTTCAATTGGATTACCACGATCTCATCACGAAGGGAGGCTTGACGGTGTTGGTACTGTAGGAAGAAAGACTATTAGGTTGGATCGGAAGGTGTACGATAAAGCTCATTTCACGGTACTACAGCATATGACTGAGGTGGTGCCGTACGTTGACGAACACCTTGCAGTTATCCGACAAGAGAACCCAGGCCGATCAGAGAGTTGGGTCAGGAATAAGCACATGTCTTCTTTCAACGAGTGGCTGAAGAACCGAATTGCCAGGTTGCAGAACTTGTCTAGTGAAACACTTCAGTGCTTGTCACAGGGTCCTGAATGGAGTGCCACCACCTGGCAAGGATATGACATAAATGGATACACCTTTCACACGGTAAAGCAAGACAGCAAATGCACAGTGCAGAACAGTGGGTTACGCATCGAGGCTACTAGTGACGGTGGTCGTCGTGATCAATACTATGGTGAAGTTGAGCAAATATTGGAGCTAGATTACTTGAAGTTCAAAATCCCGTTGTTTCGTTGTCGATGGGTCGATCTTCGCAATGTAAAAGTTGACAATGAAGGTTTCACCACTGTCAACTTGGCTAACAACGCGTACAAGGATGAACAGTTCGTTCTCGCCAAACAAGTTGTTCAAGTGTTCTACATAGTTGACCCGTGTAACAAGAAACTACATGTTGTTCGTGAAGGGAAAAGGAGAATTGTTGGATTGGACAACATTGCAGACGAGGATGATTACAACCAGCACGTCCACGGCATAGGTCAAGAAATACCTCTAGAAGAGGAGGAAGAAGAAGATGAAGTTCAATATGCACGTGTCGACCATGAGGAAGGATTATTTTTGTAATTTATGTACGTAGTTTATGTCTACATGTCTGTTATCTGTATGACTCTAATATGTTCGCAATGATCAATAGTATATTGCTTATGAAATAGTCAAATAAAATAATCAAGTAAAGCACCCACTAGAAGTGAATTAAAATAATTAAGCAAGTATAAGCATTGGAACTAAAATAATTAAAGTAGTATAATAATGAAGTGCAATTACAACTGTTAGTGAAATAAAATAATTAAGTATAAAAAAATATGTAGTGTATGTGAAAATATGTTAAGGAAAATAAAAGAACTAAGTGAAATAAAATTGCTCTAGGCAAACTCACCTGTGACGGGCTCTATCTGTAGGGCCGTCACAGGTGACCTCACCTGTGACGGCCCAGAGTTTTGGGCCCGTCACAGGTGGTATTACCTGTGACGGCTCCACGGTTGGCGCCCGTCACAGGTGAGGCCACCTGTGACGGCCACATAGTTGGCGCCCGTCACAGGTTCATGTTCCGTTGTGCGAGTCCTGATCCGGTTCATGTTCCGTGCACTGGAAGCGTGGTCCCGCACACAGTACCAGAAGGACGGCTTGTGAGGCGACGTTAACGGCGTTAACGGATGTGAGAAGTTGCCGTTGCGCCTCGGCTTTTCCGTCAGAGTCAGGGCATCCAATGCTCTCGATCCCTCTTTCTTCCTCCTCTCGCTGTTGCTTCCGCGGTCGTCGATGCGACGCAGGCCTGGCGGAGAATCCCTCTTTCTTCCCCTCCGCTGCAGGCTCCCGTCCTCCCCTTTCGACTGTGGCTTGCAGGCCCGTGCCCCCCCCCCCAATCGATTCTCGTCCGCGCGTCGTCTTGCGGCAGCGGTCGGTTCAAGGTGCTCAAAATCGGGGGGAAGTGGAAGAGCTCCACGCCTGTCGAGCTGTCTGCGTCGTCCTCGAGGGGAGTAAAAGCTGGCCGGCGTGCTCGCTGTGAAGCAGCAAGCAGTCTGGCTGCCTGTGTGCTCGTCCTCTCTGCCTCTCGGGTCAGACAGTGCTGGCCTGAAGAGTCTCATCAAGGCATCCAAGCTGGCGGAGTTGAGGAGTCTCTATTTCAGGCCGAGCGTGTGCGTGGTCCGATGGAGACGACAGCGAAGAAGCGGAAGCGAGAGCGGGATCTATTGTCGATCCAAGAGGAGGGGACGATTGTTCAATCCCCTCAAACAGGGGAGATCTCTGTCCGCGGCGCCGATCTGGAGTCCGGCGAGGACTCCTCCGACTCTGTCACCTCCGACGCTGGCAGCGCCAAGGCTGCTCCCGACGACGTGCTTCATATCGCGCATGCCCTCTGCAAAGTTTGCGCCAAGTCTCCTAGAGCCGTCATCGACTTTGTTCGAAGAGTGAGCCCTGCCACCGTCGGCCGTTCGATTGATTGGGACGTCGTCCGCGAGGAAGAGTCATCTAAGGTATTTGTTTGTATTAATTTGTTCATTTCCGATTCAATTTTATTTGACTTGCACGGAGTAGATGGGCGATGGCCGTAGCCGGTGGACCGATATGGAGGTTCGTGTGTTTCTTGAGAGCTGCTTGGAGGAGATGGCAGCGTTCACCATCACCTCCAACTCCCCCAAGCCGCAGGCATGGCAGAACCTAATACACAAGATGTACACCAAGTGCAAGAAGAAGGTGAACAAGGCTCAATTGGAGTACATTTGGGGGCAGTGTAAGAAGCGGTACAACAGGTGGGTGTGGCTAGAATCGCATGCAAGCGGGCTGGGTCGTGATCCCCATACATCAGCCATTGTTGCCGATGATGAGTGGTGGGAAAGCAAGAATGCGGTACGTACACTTGACCATAAATATTTTGAACCAACAATTTTGCCTACAATTGGTATTATCTGAAATTTAGTACATGCATGCAATTATAAATACAGTTTTGTGAGGTGTAATAATTTTTTTGTTCAAATTGTGTGTGCCAACAAATGACTAGCTGCAGTAAAATGGAAGGATTGTGATCACATATGTTTCATAGTTGTTACTGTCATGTCGTTTTTAGTAATGTGTGCCATTCCCTTGTATTTAAGTTAACAAAATGATGTTTAGGAAAGATCTATATGTAGTGTATATGTAGTGTATCAGTAAATTAGGAAAGATCTTGTACAAGTCATTTAGGAACATGTTAATACATATTCAACTAGCTGTACACACCTTCTTTGTGATGTATATAGAGAGAATGAACAAAAATGTGCTCATCTACAAAGAATATAATATATGCAGTTTATCTTATGTTTACAATGTTCAAACTATCTTTCTTTCATTCTGTCAGATGTGTGGCCCATTGTAACATGTACTCCTGATTATATTTGATAACTTGGTACCAATGTGCACATTTACTGCCAGCATTTTAGTAGTAATGCACATTGGACTGCACATATTCATTATGTTCAATGTTTGCACAAGCCTAATGCACTTGCCTTGTACTAACTTATTTTTACTGTCTACTTATGTTGCAGCAAAATAAAGGTGTCTTAAGCTTCAGGAATGATCCTCTGAAGCACATTGACCTTCACCACGCGGTATTCAGTGGGCACACAGTTGTCGGAAACCACTCCGCCGTCGCAGGGGCAGCCCCACAGGCACCGCAAGGAGCAGTTCAGTGGCAGACCATCGACATGGCGCAGCTCGCTGCTGCTTATAGACCACCACCTCCAACTCCACCCCCAACGGCAGCAGACCGGGGCAAGGGAAAGAGGCCAGCAGCAAACACTACTGCCTCAGGGAGTTCTTCCAAGAAGTCACGAAGCGACTCCGCTGGACTGGCTTTGGAGAGGATTGCGGACATCCGAGAGCAGAGCTACCAGAGTCGTGTTGCTCAGATGGAAGCAGAGAAGTCTATGGGCCTTGATGCGTGCATGGAGTTGGTGGAAAATGATGGCCATGAAATTGGAGGAAGTGTGTGGTATGCTGCTTGTGCGCTATTCCGTGACCCATTCACCTGCAAATGCTTTGTTCGACTCAAGGACGCCGCTAGGCGCTTGGAATTTATACGCACTGGTGGTACTGGACAGTCATCTGGTGGCACCTGGTAGTTTGTGCACTGTACTTTACTTTGAGTTGTGATGGGCGATGTTTTTCAAATAAACCATTATTTATGTTTAGAACTCAGTGTGCTAACAATTTTTACATTCTGTGAGTCCGTAAACATTTGCGGCTTTATATCCAATTCGAGCAACTACGTATTCCATTGCATTGCTTTTATATCCAAATAATTCTTCGATTGCATAGATCACTGCCATTATTAATTTCTATCCTTTTGATTATGACAAACATTGCCTATTCTTCGGTTCTCATATGTTAAAGGAAATCGGCGATGAGTTACGGCGCGGGTGGATCGAGTTGGAATGGAGGCGGTCACACAAGCAGCGAAGAAGAAGATGCCATCATTGAGTACATGGCTGCTACCCTTGATTTCAATGAGAGGGCACCAAGGAGAATACCGGTGCAAACCGGTATCAGTTGGATGATGGACACGATGGCAAATCGAAGCCAATGCAGGGCAATGTTCAGGCTTACTGCAGAGGAGATACACAATTTGCATGATCTATTGGTCACTTCTTTTGGTCTTGTAGGAACAGCATGGGTCTGTTCCATGGAAAAGCTTGGTATTTTCTTGTACACGATGGGTGGAAATCGTCCAATCAGAGACGCGAACAATCGGTGGGTCCGCTCCAACTCGACAGTGTCGGTTCACTTCCACCATGTTTTGCAGGCTATGAATGATCTCGCTGGGAAAATATTGAAACCGGTTGATCCCAACTTCTTAGATTACAACCCTCAGATTCTGCAAGAGAATCCTTTCAAGCCTTTCTACCAATCAGTGGGAGCTGTCGATGGCACACATATTCCAGTTCTGCCTAATGCAGCTAGCGCTATGCAACACAGGAACCGTCACCACATAACAACCAGAAATGTTCTAGTAATATGTGATCATGATGGGAGAATTATTTTCTGTGATGCTGGCTGGCCTGGATCAGTTCACGACCAAAGGATTCTCAATGAGGCAGTGCAGGCTTACCCCTACGATTTCCCACGGGTACCGTTAGGTGAGTTGTATCGGTCAATACACTTTTTTTTATTGCCAAATGTCTTGATTTTATTTAATTCTATACATGTGCACTAATATTTAATTATGCGCCGTTAACCAGGCAGGTACCTACTTGTCGACTCCGGATTTCCTACCAGGATGGGCTTCCTTGCACCGTACCCACATGTACGGTACCACAGGGATCAACTTGCGGTCGAGGGAGCCCCGCCACCCGTAGGACGGGAAGAGACTTTCAACCATCGACACTCCACGTTGCGAGGGATCGTGGAAAGACAATTTGGCATCGCAAAAAAGATGTGGAAAATATTGAAAGAAATCCCTTATTACCGAGATGAGGACATCCCTGCACGCATCATTCATGCAGCTTTCGCTCTACACAACTTTAGGTTGGATAGTAAAGATCCGACCTATCGGTTCACTAATGCTCTCTACAACGGCAATCCAGTGCCGCTGCTGAACGATTCATTCGACCATATGTATTACGCAACAAATAGCGAGGCCGCTATGTGCATGTTGCGTGACTGTATTGCTGATGATGCGTACAATAACTACCATTAGGTAGGTGATGTTATCCATAATGCTTGTCGTATGTTCAGTACTTCAATTTTCAGGATTGTATGGTTTACCATTTATTTATGTCCGAATCTTCACATATTATGAAAATTATTATTAAAGAAATCACATGTGTGTGCATATCAAATATTTCTTTCACAATTGGTGCCGCGTAGCAAATATCTCTTTCACCCGCGTAGCAAACACCCATTAATTCGCATGCTACAGTACCTCCACTGCCAGCCCCTGCCCGGCATCGCACGGCACGGCGACGGAAAGTGTCGGCCATAGACGGCGTCCAGGCTGCCGCTTTCAATATTTTCCAGTGTCCCTGACGCCCTGACACTGCTACAGTGGTCTACAGTACTACATGTTCCCAACCCAAAAGTCAAGCTCCGATCCGGCACTTGCGAACGAAAGTGAAATAAAATTGCTCTAGGCAAACTCACCTGTGACGGGCTCTATCTGTAGGGCCGTCACAGGTGACCTCACGGTTGGCGCCCGTCACAGGTGAGGCCACCTGTGACGGCCACATAGTTGGCGCCCGTCACAGGTGAGTTTGACTAGGCTTGACCTAGGGTTGGACATCGATCCAGATCCGGCACCCACTCTCACTCCACTCTCATCTCTCGACCGCCGCCTCGCCCCTATCGACCTCTCCGCTACCCTCTACGCCCTCCTCTCCACCGCCGCCTCGACCTCTCCACCGCCGCCCTCGCCGCCGCCAAATCCGCCGACCTCTCTGCCGCTCACCCTCTCCGTCGACCTTCCCGACGCCGGCCTGCACCACCACCGCCGCAGTCCATCTCCACCGCCATCTCCACCGTCGCCTCGACCTCTCCGCCGCCCTCCTCTCCACCGCCGCCTCGACCTCTCCGCCGCCATCTCCGCCGCCCTCTCCACCCTCTACACCGCCCTCTGCACTGCTGCCGCCTCACTCACTCTCTCGACCGCCGCCGGGACCTCCTCTTAGTCGCCACGCCAGGACCGTCATCGCCGCCACCGGGACCTCCACGGTGAGCCCACGGCCCCCGCCTCCCCTCGTTTACTATTGGTCGCCGATTAACCCCCTCTTCTCCTCCTCAGCGCCGTCGTGCCAAGAAGCCGCCGCCGCGCCGCCGTGCCGAGAAGCCGTGCGCCGTGCGCCGGCCGGGACTCGTCGTCACCGTGCGCCGCCTCCTCTGCTCGTCGTCTCCTCTCCAAGTACCCCTCTCTCTCTGATGCCGATGAATGGAATGGTGCAGTTAATGCATGAATGAATGATGCAATGGAATGGATGAACGAATGATGAACTTTGGGGAATCCGAGGTTATCAAACCATCACAGAATACAAAATGCATGGGGAATTTTGGTGGATTGGTCAGTGTAGTCCATGGACGGAACCGACCTAGACACCAAAATTCTCCATGCATTTTGTTTTCTGTCATTCTTTGATAATGAAGGAACTTTATTAGGTTTAGGGTTTGAAATTTATATACCCTTGTTGATAGATTGGCCACAGATTACCTACACTTGTTGATTTATATACCCTTGTTGTCTATGAATAGGTGAATTGCATGAATTGTTGTTTATATACATGATTTATATACCCTTGCTGTCTATGAATAGGTGAATTGCATGAATTGCTTTTTATATACATGATTTATATAATTTTTTTTGATGCCTTGCTGTCTATGTTTGCCCATGCTGCTGCCTATGGTTGCCTGTCATTTTGTTTTCTGTCATTCTTTGATGATTTATATACCCTTGCTGCTGCTGCCCAATGTGTTCCTTATTAAATGGCCAGTGATGAATTGCTCAATAAGAACAGATTTTGTGCACTTGCTCTTTTTTTATGCATAAGAACATATTTTCTGCACTTGTTCATTTTTTTATCTACAATAATATATGCATGATTTATATACCACTGCTGTTGTTGCCCCTGTACTTCTTGTTAAATGGCCAAGGATGAATTGCTTAATAACATTCTATCTATACCTGTTATTTTCTTTATGGATAAGAACAGATTATCTACACTTGTTGATTTATATACCCTTGCTGTCTATGTGAATTTCCCTCTGCTGTTGCTGTTTATGTGAATTTCCACCCTGCTGTTGCTGTTTATGTGAATCTCCCCCTGCTGTTGCTGCCCCTGTGGCATATATACCCGTACTGATGTTATATGGCCCTGCTACTGCTCTTATTGCTGCTATTATATGGCCATGCTGTTGCTACTGCTCTAATTTCCTGCACTTGCTCTTTTCTTTATGGATAAGAACAGATTACCTACACTTGTTCTATTTTCTTTGGGTTGCTTTTTTCTCCTAGTAGCTGATTTCCTCTTTTTTATCCCTTCATGCAAATGATTGTAATTGATGCATATTTCTCAGCAAAACTGAGGCCATATCTTTCATAGTATACCCCGTATTACATTGGATCTAATGCTATTTAGTCTAATGGTAGGAAATTTATAATCTTTTTCGCGAAAGTTAAACCATGTCAACGCCCGGCGCAAACCCACCCTCCCCAACACCTGCGAGGGTCCAGGAAGAAGCAAACCCAGCCACAGAGGCAGTTGCCGAAGGTCATCCCGCGACAACGGCGGTCCAACAACACGAAATTCATGGTAATTTATAGGATAAATTTTCACCACATGACCACATAAATTTTAGCTAGCACCCCTTAGCAAATATTGCCTTCTGTTTGTGCTGCAGAATTGCCGCATGAACAACATACGTCGATGTCGGGCGGGACAAGTGCAAGTAGGTCTAGTAGAAATCCGCGGTCACATAATATATGGCCGACCACAGTGCAAGTTATAAGAGAGGTTGACGCTAGTGGTAGGCCCACGGCGCCCAGGACTGTCATTGGAAGATGGTCTAACTGCTGCGGGATAGCGGCACGTGAGAACTTCGGGATCCTCCATAAAGATATCGGGAAGGTCACAGAAGCCGAGAAAGAGCGAGCTTGGACGGCAATGGAGAAATGGTTCACATTTCCAGCCGAAGCAAAGGATAGGCTCAAGCGGAAGGCATTCCAAAAGATGGGCAAAGCTTGGAAGAATTGGAAGTCGAAGCTCTTCACCGAGTTTGTCAACCCGCCCGGCAATCATACGCCGTTCGATGAATACCCTCAAATAACCGAAGCGGTGTGGGAGGAATTCTGCTCTCTCAAGACCACCCAACAGTTTAGGGAATCAAGCGAGGCACATCGCGTACTGCAACAGCGGAATGAGCACCCGCATCGGCTGGGCACCGCAGGGTACATCGGCAAGGAGGCAATATGGGCCCAAGAAGATGCAGCCGCTGCAGCAGCGAATGTCCCTGCCCCGTTTTCAGACATCCCTGAACAAAGAGCTCGCAACTGGGCGCGGGCAAGGGGTAAGGTCAACCCGGACGGCTCTGTCACATTTGAGAACAAAAGTGATGCCGTCGTCTATCAGGAACTGGTGAGTTCACTACTTAACCTAACTAATTTCCGTTCGTATAAAGTACAAGTTCGTATAAACGACTATCTTCTTTTCTAGTTGGGCTTGGTTGCTGAACAAGCTTCACAAAGCGAGGTTGAGTCCGCGCCGAAGAGGCGCGAAGATGACATCCTCACAAAGGCGCTCGGAACCAAAGAACATCCTGGCCGAACTCGGGGAATTGGTAGCGATGTGCCCTGGAAGCATGGACTCCCTCAGTACAGATCCCAATACAGGAAACGGAAAGTCTCCAAGGAAGAGAGGGACGCTCGTTTGAAGGCCGAACTTAAGGTTGAGGTCATTCAAGAACTAGAAGCTAGCATGGATGCAAGGGTGGAAGAAAGGGTTAACAAGGTCCTTGCCGACATGAATATACCCCGAGTCACAACACCTGCTGTGCAACCAACTCCTCGTGTACAACACGACGCGAGTCCGTCACAGCATAGGAGTAGTTGTGCATCCACAGAGGTGCCGG